TAACAGTACAGAGCTGAAGGCCGAGGAATGTAAGCCTCAACTATTATAAACTATTGTTGTCGGGTGTCAAAATTTCTGCTGACAATACGGAGTGTGCAGGAGCCGGTGGAGGACTTGGACCCAGAGCGAATCTTGGACGTTCAGACAGACTCTCGACTTCACATCATCTCCGGAGGGACAAAAGTGGTCCAACATAGCCCCCCTTTGAAGGCCAGCGCCGGACTCAAACGTAAGCAGTAATTCCTCACTTCATTACCAACAACACATACTGGCAGTTAAATGAGTGAACTCAATAATGTGTCTATTGTCAATCTTCATCATCAAATCCAGATGCAAGCCCATTAATCTTCTCCTTTATGTGCAGCTGTAGATAACGGCTGCGTGGCCTACGTACTGAGAACAGGATTCTACACCTCGCAGGTGAGGATGTCGCTTAGTGTGTCTTTATTACTGCTCCCCCTTTTTTTCTAATCATGCATTTTAATTCTAGTTTTGACAACATGTGGCGTGAAATGTGAAAGTGTACCGATTGTGTGTGCAAACTTGTCTCCAGGGTAAACTGTTGCGAACCATCCTCTTTGGTGTGAAGAGAGTGACGGCGAACAACATGGAGACTTTCATCTTCATCCTCTTCCTCCTGGTGTTTGCCATTGCTGCAGCTCTTTATGTGTGGGTAGAAGGTGAGGACACGGACGTTATCAGAGTCAGAGTGATAGCTAAGAGCTGGAGGTGAGGACAGAAGTATGGTACCTAAATACTATCTTTGTGCTTTGTATTGCTCCCTCAGGGACCAAGGATCCCAGCAGGAACCGCTACAAGCTGTTTCTGGAGTGCACGTTAATCCTCACTTCGGTCGTTCCACCAGAACTCCCCATAGAGCTTTCTCTGGCGGTTAACACGTCTCTTATCGCCCTGGCCAAACTTTGTATGTCTGTGTGTGTGTGTGCTCCCATTTGCATGCGTGTAGAATAGATATTACGATACCTGGGCAAAGCAGCATACAATACAAAGCTTGTAACAGCAGTGGTTCATTTGAATCTTCCTTTTTCTACCCCTGCGTAGATGTATTCTGCACAGAGCCCTTCAGGATACCATTTGCAGGGAAGGTGGAGGTTTGCTGTTTTGACAAAACAGGAACACTGACCAGCGACAGCCTGGTGGTGCGAGGAGTAGCAGGCCTCAGGTAAACCCCGCTCACCATTCTTAGGGTCCTAATTTATGAAGCACACGCACAAAGTATACTATGCTATGGTCAAGGTTACTATATGATTGCATACATTTGCACTGTTTGGAGTGGAGGTTACCGGCTGGTGTTTGCGTTTGTGACAGAGAGGGAAAGGAGGTGATGCCTGTGTCTGAGATCCCGGTTGAGACGCATCGGGTGGTGGCCACCTGTCACTCACTGGTCACTCTGGATGATGGACAGCTGGTCGGAGATCCACTGGAGAAGGCCATGCTGACTGCGGCTGACTGGACCCTCACTAAAGGTAACAGGAAATGACTTCCACTAAATGCACAGTGCAGGGTGTAATTTGACCGGTTCATCTACAAGTAAAGCTGTTCTTCAAATGCATTGCTTTTTCATGTAGATGGTAGCGTTTTGGTAGCTTTGCTCTCAATAGCACAATACTTTAGTGTGTGTGTGTGTGTGTGTCTCATTGACTTTTGTCACTTCGACCAGATGAGAAGGTGTTCTCACGAGGCATCAAAACCCAGGGACTTAAGATCCACCAGCGTTTCCACTTTGCCAGCGCTCTGAAGAGGATGTCGGTGTTGGCCTCCTACGAGAAACTTGGCTCCACTGAACTCTGCTACGTCTCAACTGTCAAGGGAGCTCCAGAGACACTCAGAGGAATGGTACATATCCTTAAGACATACACGCTCTCGTCTAGTCTAATTGATTTTTCCCTAATGTGTCTGTGATCATAGTTTTCAGAATGTACGGCGAATTATGACGAAGTCCACAAGGAAATGTCTCGGGAAGGCGCTAGAGTGCTGGCCTTGGGTTACAAAGAGATAGGACACCTCAGTCATCAGCAGGTTCTTATTTTCATTTTACTCAAAACTATCAAAGTAGTCTGGTCTGATGGGAATAGATTTAGTTACAAACTGAGATGGATCTGTTCTTTAGGTCCGGGAGATGAGTCGCGATGCGCTGGAGTGTGACCTGCATTTCGCTGGGTTCATGGTCGTGTCCTGCCCCCTCAAGGCTGACAGCAAGGCCGTCATCAGAGAGATCCAGGAGGCATCTCATCATGTAAATACGCTGACAAGACACAATTGTGCACACAGACTCAAACAGCATGGTTTAAAGAGAGATCAATCCTCTCCCTTTGCTTCCAGGTGGTGATGATCACAGGCGACAACCCTCTAACGGCCTGCCATGTAGCAAGAGAGCTCCACTTCATCCAGAAAGAACACACACTTGTATTGCAGCCGGGCCCGGGTCAGGGTAAAGACAAGTCATCACTTTACAGAATTGCATGCATTACTCGAGTGTGTCATCGGAGAACGATGTCTGTAAAAGAGGTTGTAGCTAAAGGGCACGAACATTCTCGTAGTAATCTATTCGCAGGTGGTGTTGTGACCAAGGACATAGCCAAAGTACAGAATCACTTACCTCTGATGTTGTTTTGTTTTCCAGGTGAGTGGCAGTGGGAGTCCATTGACGGCAGCGTGCATGTACCACTGCCCCCTCCCTCCGTTTCCACATTTATCAGTCAGTTTGACTTGTGTGTAACAGGGGAGGGGCTAGCCAGACTGACCTGTGACACCCAGCTTCTCCACGCCCTCTTGCCTCACATTCAAGTGTTTGCTCGTGTCAGTCCAAAACAGAAGGTAGGTCCCAAAAACCAACATACGTACAACAAGACATTGAGGTTTATAAATCACAGCCACAATGGAGTTGGATAGCAGAAAGTGTTGAGCTCTCTAAACATCAATAGTCGGTGTCAGATGGTGTGGTTTTAATCAAAGGCTTCTTTGTTCACCAATAGTGATATTCATCACAGACAAAGCAGAGGTTTAGCCGAATGGTAGTCTCAGTATTCTACTAAACAACAGCATTTTGAGTATGACAGATTGATGGTACTTTACAAAACAATATAAAAATGTCTACGGGTGAACTTTAAGTGTTGTTTTGTTTCAGGAATTTGTCATCACCAGTCTAAAGGGGCTGGGTTATGTGACACTGATGTGCGGTGATGGCACCAATGATGTTGGAGCTCTCAAACACGCCCACATAGGTACGATTCATCAACCACCAAGACTGAAAGCACGTGTCCCTCCCTATGTATGACCCCAACAGTGTGTAGTGATGATCATTTTTTTCCCCTCAGGTGTTGCTCTGTTAGCCAACGCCCCCGAGCGAATGCCTGAAAGAAAGAAACGGGGGAGAGAAAAGGAGGCGCCCGCAGCCGAGTCCAGACCTTTACCACCTGTCGGTTCAGGAGGCAAACTGAGCTCTCGGGCAGCCAGGCAGAGAGCGATGACCCAGAGAGAAGAGCAGCTTGCAGCGCAAAAGGTGTGTATCTTCAAGAAAGGGCCTCCTTCCTGGTTCTCATAGGAATAGTTTACCACTGACTTACTGTGACTGAAACATATGCAGCCTATTAACCTGCAGTCCCATGTCAGCCTCCTCCCCAGTTACCAACGTTAATGAAATCAGCTCAAAAACAAGAATAAATGTGCCATTCGTTGCATTAACAACGTTTTAGTGCACAGGTCTAAACATCCGGGTTTATTCTGTAACAGGAGAGAATCAATCAAGTCTTACGGGAACTTGAAGAGGATCAGATACAAGTAGTGAAACTGGGTGATGCCTCCATCGCTGCACCCTTCACCTCCAAGCTCTCCTCCATACAGTGCAGTGAGTAGCACATGTTTATGATTTCAGCTATTGACACAGTTGGCAAAGATCTGAACATGAAGCTGCTCCCCCACCTCTGAAACTCTTTACTATTACCCCCCCCCCCAGTCTGCCATGTAATAAAGCAAGGCCGATGCACTCTGGTGACAACGCTCCAGATGTTCAAGATCCTCGCTCTCAATGCCCTGGTGCTGGCCTACAGCCAGTCTGTACTCTACCTCGAGGGGGTCAAGTTCAGCGATTTCCAGGCGACCCTGCAGGGCCTGCTCCTGGCCGGATGCTTCCTCTTCATCTCTAGATCAAAGGTGACAATTTATATGACGTGCTTTTGATTGATCGTTCTCCAAGCAAGGCAGTCTTTACTGAATGTCTACTGTTTTTGATGAAAAACAAATTTATGATACATATTCTTTTTTCACCTCTGTTTGCACAGCCACTGAAAACGTTGTCTCGAGAGCGGCCCTTACCAAACATCTTCAATCTTTACACAGTGTTGACTGTGCTGCTGCAGTTTGCTGTTCACTTCTGTAGTCTGGTGTATCTTTACAAAGAGGCACAAACCAGAAGTCCGCCCAGGTAAATCACTGTCAGACCGAGAGAGAGAGAAAGTTCAATATTTACATTCATAACCTGACATCAATACATTATACTAACATATTTTGTGTTGTCTTTTGCAGAGCGGACCAGTTTGCAGATCTATATAAAGAGTTTGAACCCAGTCTCATTAACAGCACCGTGTATATAATGTCCATGGCCATGCAGATGGCCACCTTTGCCATTAACTACAAGGTACTTATTCTTTACACCGTGCGTGTTCGTTGTCTCTGCGTTCTTTATATATATATAAACTCACAGCATGTCTTGTTGCGTCCAAAAGGGTCACCCCTTCATGGAGTCTCTCACCGAGAATCGGCCGCTACTATGGAGTATCGCTCTGTCGGGTTTGGCGATTGTGGGACTTCTTTCTGGTTCCTCACCAGAATTCAACGAACAGTTTTCGCTTGTAGATATTCCAACTGAGGTGAGCTGACGTCATTTTTACCATGAATCATTTTTGTTGAAGTCGGCCTTGTGATAATTATCTACTTCATAAGGTGACCTGCTTACTTTTTTCTACTTCCTTGCAGTTCAAATTAATCATCGCCCAGGTTCTGGTTGTGGACTTTGTCGCCGCGCTGCTGGTGGATCGTGTCTTGCAGTTCCTGCTGGGCAAAGGAGCTCTCAGGCTGCCTTCTTGAACTCGGTGCCAACAGTGACCGCTGCCCTTACCAACCAAACTGTAAAGGGAGAGAAGACTTTTGAGGAGGAGGAGGAGAACTAAAGCTGTTGTGACTTACACAAGACAGCCGAGACAGTCATGGCGTGCAGTTCCGTGCAGTTCCGTGCAGTTCCGTGCATCCCTTCGCTCGCCCTGCTCTGCCCCTCCTTAACCATCTGTGCTTCTGCATTTTCACCAGCTCTTTTCTTCCATTCGCCAACTCTTTTTTTTTTTTTTTTTTCTACATTTCTCCCTCTTTCCTCATCTGTCCCTCCCCGCTGCGACACGAGGCCATGAAGACAGCAGTATTGAGTGGAGTGCGAGACTGTGTGCCAGCCAGAGTGAAACATTCTGGAACACAGGAAGGGCATTCTCCAAGAGACTTGCAAAAGTGTTTTTGATTTTTTTTGATTCCTCTCCTTGATTTTTGTAAAAAGTGAAAAACATCTCTAACAGACTTATAAAGACTTACAGATAACAAATGATGAAGTATGCCAAGTGTTTTGTCAAGTACAAGTACTGATGCATCTGCACATGGACAGGATGAGCATGTGCAGCTGGTCATGAACTATCCTGTTCACACGAGTAGGTAAGTAAAGAACAATCAAGGTATGAGAGTATAGTGTAACTGCACAAAGAAAGACCATCAACTACAGATAACTGTTTGCTGTTTATCTTTGATATGAACTTACTTAAACTGTTGTTTGATCAACAAACTAGAGCATCTTAAACAAATTACTTTCCCACCAAAAATAGAATATTTCTGAATAGAAATCCAATCCATTGCATTGTAAATCATAGATTGCATCAAGCATTCAAGAACTTTGGAGCTGTTAATACCACACATGTATCACTGCACTCCTCAGGGTTTGTTGAACATAATTTTGAAAAAGTAAAGCTAAAATATACATACAGTTTAAGGGCTGACACAAAAAATAGAAAATAGGGAGATTTATGCTTGGGTAGAAGTAACCTTTTTTCTTTAAATTTTAAAGTTATATTATTATAATTATGATTTACTTTTACTTGTAGATATTGCACACAGTTGCATTCCCCCCCCCCCCCCCTCCCCACATGGGTACACATAGTTATAGGAATGCTTAATAGTGACTAACACATTTCAGCAGGATACAATGAACTGGAGTATGTGCTCAAAGTGACTGTCAAAAGATACACTAAAAAAGCTTTGGTAAACACCAAAATGAATTGGTATATAAATACTTGTTTAACCATCTATGTAAACATCACATTCAGAGGTCAGGATATACCTATAATGATGCTTTTCAGGGGAATGCTGGAGCCACAATTTGGAGATCAGGGGATGTACAGAGTAAGCACAGCAACTGAAATGATAAAAACTCAAGAAAAGAGAAGATGCCATGTAATGTATAAACATACAGTAGGTGTGTGGTTCCCTGAAAAGCTTGGGTGAGCGTTGGTTAGTTACGACTGGATAAAGGGAAGCACACGTGAATGAGAAGTAGTGTGAGATGAGAGCCATGTTAGGTAGTATTCATGACTGAGCTGCACTCTGCAGATATATTGCAGAAAACTAAGGCAAATAGCCAGCGGTTGGAAAATGCCGTGAATGAGGCTAAAGCTGTTGAGCACAAGGTCTTAAACTCTGGAGGCCAAAGCACAACAACTCTGAAGAACCAGCTGATGAATGCTTCAGCTAGATATCCGAAATCCAACCAATGCCTACAAAGAGGATTGGAGCAGGATTGTCTCTTTCAACTAGTAGGTCAACACTTGCTCATAACCTGGTCTAGGGGGGTTTCCAGGACTTGATGGCTTCCTCCACCCCCCAAGGCCATGCAGAAACAACTGTAATTGCAGCCTGCATTTTGGTTTCCTCAATTCATTTTTGTATTTTATTAAATGATATATCTACTCACAGTATTTTCCACTTAACAATCTTTAATTGATAAAATCTTAAAATTAAACTTTTATGTTTCTATGCATATAATGATAAGCTGCTCATGCTGCCATACAAAAGCCCAGTAACTTTTGTAAAGTCAAATGACCTACACACCAAAATAATCTGTGGATAATCATGCAACTCCTCATGGGTGACAGTCTCATAAAGTTGTATAGATCATCTCATGGAGGGTTTCTTTCATTTGTTTCCCAGGAAGCATAAACACGATTGAAAGTTTTTTAAATCCATATTCTAAGCACAATTAATTATCTATTGCAAATAAAACTGGAAACATTTTTTTATTAAATTATAACATAGCGACTACAGATGATATTTGCCTCGACAGTTATACCTTGTTTGCCTTCGCTTGTCTTACAATCGCACTACATTTCCCATGGTGCTTAGCTCAGAGGGGGTTGGCTTGTTGGGCGCGCGCTGTGGAGAAAAACTATTTGAAAGAAAAAATGGCGGAAAAACATTCGGAAGAAGCACAAGAAAGGTTTGTATCCTTTATTCGTTCACCGTTGCGACAATCGATTTAACTTCAAATGTTTAATCTTATTTATGTAGCGTTACGTTAACGTTGGCTTTTAAATTCACAACAATGTTCTTGCAGTTGCGGAAGTGTCGCCGTTGCTGATAACCTCAACGTTACCCAGAATGAGGTAAGAGGTTTTAACTGACATTTTAAGCCAGCTAACTAATGCTAAACCCATGAACTACTCATGCTACATGTGAGTCTCTCTTCAACTTTATCAAGGTGGACTCAGTGAAACAGACAAAGAAGAGATGCTCCTCCACAAGCCCCAGCACGCCTCCCACAAACAAATCTCCCCGTACCGTGTTCCTACCGACCAGCACACCATATCCAGAGGAAGGACAGTCAGAAACAGACAAACTAGAGATGCAGACAGACAGCAAGGAGGGACCCTCAAGTCCCAAAGTCAGCCCCACTGCACGGAGGAAATCCTGGAGGAGAGCCACCATCACCCGACGCTCTCTCCCTGCCCTCCCCAACCCATACCAGGGTAAGATGTCTGGTGTTTTTGAACCTTTATAATCAGGAATGAAATGTCATTGGGTTTTGTCTTTTGTTGTTGCTTGTTCTGCAATATAAATCCCTATTTATGCGTCTGTTGTAGTTTTGTGCCGGAGCATAAGTGCATCGTTATCACAGCAAGAGAGGCTTGAGAAATTGATGGAGGCTTCAATGAAGGTGAGTGTGTGGCAGGGTTAAGGGGTCTCTGGTATTGACTGTTTGAGATGAATATCATCTTTTCACTAAACTGACCAGTGGTTGTTTAACAGATACACGATGCCCTCTGTTACTGAATCACTGAAACATAAAATAGACACACTTATTGGATTGCAAGTAAGGGAAAAAATACGAGATTCACAACTTAGAGATGTATCCGATGTTATGGTTTTATTCACAAGTACCTCCCTGCTGTACATAAGATGTCCTCATGAACCAAAACGAATGACTCTCTTGTCTAATCACCTCTGCTTTGTCTCTAGCTGGCAATAGAAAGAACTCGAAGTTCGCTGCAGTCCGTGCCGAACACCTCAATGGAGTCTTTTCAAAAACAAGGTACGTGCTTTGCACTACTGCATTAGGTACATATTTCACAGAGCTCTGTATTTTACCTGAAGTTATTTCTTCGTCTATGTTCTCTGTCTTCCTCGGAGCAGTTGAGCACATGCAGAAAGACTGGGGCTGTCTGGCCAAAAGCATACGCGATGAACCAGGGGCTCATCAACTCCCTGCTATAGCAGCCAGGTATTGTAGATGTTTTATATATTCAATGCTCTGCATGCATTATATAGATTTAGTTTTTACCTACAAATTTAATATTTTATACTGGGTGTGTGCCTCTATTGTTTGCTTTCAGTTCTAGTGATCCTGTAGTGCAAAAAGCCATGGAAAAGGTCCAGAAAGCCATCAATAGGCAAGTTGTTGTTAATATCACGATAACGCATCCAAAGTATTTATGCAAAACATACATTCAAACTTAAAAACACCTTCCACGTGAGGTTCTTTAGTTTACCGCCCTGTGTTGGGTTTTAGGCTCCAGGCTGAAAGTGACTCTTGGGAGGAGCTGTTGAACAAACACCGGAGTAAAGCGGAGGAATTGGAAAGGTGAACACGTGTGCCGTCATTGAGGAATACTGTATCAAGAGTCACTATGACCCTCTCGGTTGTGTATCAATCATGTGCTGTGTGTTCGTTTGCAGGAAAGTCGAGCAGGGCCAGAAAGGAGGCGTATCGTTGGACTCTACAGCTGTGGCCCGGTCCTCACAGCACCGCTTTATACAGAGTAAACCCGACTACCACGGCCTCCTCTGTAGACAACAGCCCATGCTTCACACTATGGCGATGATTGTATGTGGGAAATGTATTCATTTTTATCAGTACTTTAAAAAAAAAAAAAACACCTGTACTTTGGTTGCAGCAACATGTTCAATGCTGTAAAGGTGCTGAGTTCTTCAAGAACACAATATTTCCTTAATTTAAATTAACGTACCCGTCATTAGTAATAATTAGTTTTGAATATTTATTAAAATAGTATCTTTTTAAGGACTTTAACTACTGACTACACCTCAAATATGAAGACATCAGACCTGTTGGAAAAACAATTAACAGCTGTACTGTGTTTTTGTTTGATGTACTTTAACATGTGTAATCAGTTCTGCCTTTTTGTGTGCAGATGGACACTCAGAGTAAAATGGTTAGAGAGCTTCTGTCCATCAAGGAGCAGTCGCAGCTATTGGTGAAAGAGACTAGTGGCCGTTTAGGTAATGACTTTATTTAAATAGAGTTAAATAGAATAAACAACCGTGTGGCAATTTAACATTTAATCTGGTTACGTTTGTTTCGAACAGCGGCAGAGGCAGGATTCCAGGATCTTTCACCTGACGTCATCAGGAACCTCATTGCAGCACCGCTCTCCTCTGCAACTACATAGTCCCTCTGGCAGGAGGCAAGCACCTGCAATCCATCATCTAATGGACCATGACTCTTTATGACTGGTTTATGATACTCGAATGCATACTTTTTTTGGTAATTTTACTGTTATGTGATTTAGGAACATATCATTTCTTGCGCAGTCTTATTTTGTCACCTGTTATTGGATAACGTACGCTCTAATTGCATATTTTCTGTGTCAAATAAAACAACATCTAAAGCCGGACTGGTAACAGAGTTAGTTCAGGTAATACACGTGTCTGGCCAGCAGGTGGCAGTGGCTGGATACACAATATTATGAGAAGCTTGGCGAATGGCCAGGGTGGATTTCTCTGTTGGGCCTTAATTAAGTGTATTCCTACCTGTAAAACTGTTAAGACCTGACTGCCAGCTGTTGGGGAGAAAGGAACAAACAAATGTTGCAGAAACCTGCAAAACAAGGTTATCGGTCATTGTTCATAAGATAGACGGAACAAGTCAATATATATGATGACCGTTCTGGAAACCAAACCGAATTTGTCTTTAAATGTAGTGACATTTAGTGTTATTGTCAAACAAGTATCATTATACCTGTGATGAAATCTGCCATTTTTCTATTAAAATGGACAACAGGAAAGCATTAACTTTTAAAGATCGTTGAATATAGAAGGAATATTATACAGTTTGCCTATAGTCTGGTTTATGTATACTGTCTTTTTTTTACATGCTCATCTTCAGCACATATACTCTCTTCTGGTGCTGCATCTATTTCACTTCAGTGGTGTCCCCTGACCATTCAGGAGGAGGCCCCTCCCCCATAGTGACTCACCCCCATCTCTTGCATTTGGCTGGGTCACTGATGCAGAACGAAGCTTTGACATTGTACCAGTCAGTCAAAGCTTTGTTCGCCATCACTCCTATCTCTTGGACCCATTCACTCATTAATGTTCATACTTATTGTTACTCTGCTGATTGCACCAAGAAGAATACCCCTTCCTGCCCAATTGACAACAATAAATATGACTTTCTGTGCTTTGCAGTTGTGGTCTCGCCAACATGGAGTATTTTCCTTGTGATTGTATTCAAGGGAGTGACTGGAGAGCACAGGGACATGCACAGAGAAGACAAGTGGGGTTGTGACCGTGAGAGTTGTGAGTAAGGGAGGACGGTGCACAGCGGGAAAGATCGATTCTTATTTAGATGAAAATGAGGCTTGATGCTTGTGGGGGTGAGAGGAGGGCAGCTTTAGCATCTAAATGAAGAGAAGTTTCACTGAAATGATCCTTAAATGAATCACCAACAATAAAAGGTTTAAAGAAGTTTACAAAGCCACTGGCTTTGGGGTTAGGTGATAACCCCTGCAGCTCCTCACTTATACAAATAGAGCTTAATGTTGCTTTAAACAACCTCAATGACTCAAGTGAATGGCATGTTACAAGTTATTCCTGTTTGATTTGGATGCAGTCCACATTTGGATAAAGGTGCCTTGGGTGTGACTATTATTATAAAAGGAGGGTTCTTTTTGCTATTATATATGAACAGTTTGTTTTTCTACTTAACCGCCCAATGTTTATATGATTGGTTTGTTGTAGGTTTAACATTTTAAGGCGTTAAAATCCACTGCTGACATAAACACCGTGAAAACGTGGATTGTGACTTGTAGCCGATATGCACATGCAAACAACGACGACTGTTTAGGTTTGCTGTATTCTCTCTTCTCGTTGTCTCTAACTTTTGATTGATTAGCTACAGATTGTGGTAGATGGATGTGTGGAGAGTCAGCATAAACCACTGCCAGTTTGGTCGTACTCCCTCATGCACACCCATCATCTCTTCTCAGTGCAGCAAGGCAGGCTGCAGCTCTCCTCCACATCCATTCAGCCAGCCATTCGTCTTGGAAAGCTGCCTCTCCGATCTGAGTGATAAACTACAGCAGAATTGCCCAGTTTGCAAAAAAACAAGGACACTTGTTTTCAATCTGTGCTGTCAACATTTTCATACTGAAAACTGATGGGATGTTTCATTCATCGGGGGTTTAGGACAGAATGATATTCTTTGCTTGGACTGTTTTGCTTTGAGATTGAATATTGCTCTTTTAATTACCAAAATCTGCAAACACAAATATATGTCGGTGCATTGACTTTTAGGCACAATTGATGAGATGAAACAAATAAGTTTCAATACTCCTTTTTTTCTATTCACCACACTTGTGAGCATGGCTATGCTGTTGCGGCTTGTTGAATTCATACACCTCTGCACTTTCTCAATCAACAATATTTTAAACATATGTGCAATGGCAGAGGCTTTAAACACCTTGGTGATTATACACGTTTTCTAACGTTTACAGCTGTGTGCACAGCTTGCGATGAGCTCAAATAGCACATTATCCCATTTTAAATGCAGCATTCATTCCAAAGTTTTGTTTGGAGAAGCATATTGTTGAGTAGTGGTATCACCATATATTAACCAGATAAATGGTTTGAACCAATTATAATAGCAAGCAATGCTGATGACGTAAGGGGATATCCATTTGTAATGGCCGTACAAGAGGAAAAATCTTGTCACCTGCAGGAATGATATCGTTTTAGGGTCTGGAACGCTGTGTTACAAAACGTGTATTTGATGCATTGGACCAGCTAATACAGAAATGTATATGTATTAGTTGCGTTTCTATTGTAGTCTACCGATTAACCTCTACGGTGCTATGAGTTCAATGGTCAGCGCGACGCACAGTGCTCGCGCAGCCCCAAGAACGTCCCACATACTCGCGCGACATCAACAACAATGGCAAACCCAAACCGTGGTCTGTTTTGGTAGGAGATCTCTGATTGGGAGCGAGACGGTCCGAACGCTTAGTCGCTGAATTCCATGTCACATTTCATTTTTTTTTTTTTTTGAATTGGCGAGTTTTATTTTTTTTTTTAGTCAAGAGTGTTCCGACTGTTGCTAACGGTTTTTTCGTTCAATTTTTTTTTGAAATTGTAAAATGTGCGAGGCGCTGTTGGCCAGCTCACACAGTCTGTGCATGTGTGTCCCTGCTGCTGCTGCTGCTCTGCTGGGCTACGGCTACTAACCTAGCTGCTGTTCACTCGGTGGTGAGCTAACGTTAGCCCGGCCGCGTTTATTGACGCGAGGGGGGGGGAAAAAAAAACACCAGCAAATGTAAAGCGTGTCCGTGCGATCCGTCTTATGACAACAACCCGTAACCGTTTCTTAGTCGTCGCTGTCGGGTACGGTAAGAAGTGTTGTATGGTTTTTGTCGTAGAAAAGACTTTTGCTGGCTAGCTAACAGGCTAGCTATTTGTGTTGTATTCTTCGACTGAGAGAAAACGGGCGAGTTTTCTTTGAAAGTATGGATGACCAGACCAGGATGATGACGGGTCTCACCGGACTCGGTGGACTTGCACAAGCCGATGTCGGTGACCCGGACTCGGTCAGGAAACAGCAGTCCCTCGGTCAACCTCAACAAGACATAGGGGATATCTTACAGCAAATAATGGCCATCACCGACGAAAGCCTGGACGAAGCGCAGGCCAGGTGAGACAGGCGAAGAGCCATTTTCCACACATGATGGCTAAGCTAAAGTGCGTTGTGTGTGTCTTATTTTCTGCTTCAGGGCTCAAGCTTTTGTGTGAAACCTTCCCGTAAATTGTAGGCAAACGCACAACTGCAACATTAATGCAACTTCACGTTACATTGTAATCCGTTGCTGAACCAATACTTAACCGTTAGATTACAGCGTAACTTGAAACATCCACATTACAGTGCTGTTGTAGTTTGGAAGGTGGTTCTTTGTTACTTAACATCGTGCTTTTATTGTGTACTGTAATGTTTGTAAACATGCTCAAAAGGGGCGATGATGTTAATCGTAATTAGTATAATAATGAAGGGTTAAATGTGAAAGTTTGAATGTCTTATTGATTCTGTGACAATGGTTTCCGTTGTATGTATGTATATGAATTGTTGTTGTATATGTATATAACCACTTAATCTGTGTTTGCATGCATGGGTCTCGTGATAAAAAGTAGTTTGAGACCACATCAGTAGTATTATTATTTTAATCTTTCCATTGGCTCATAGGACGATATCCCGTTAGTGACGCAAATGTCCCTTTTCACGCCAATTAGTTGGTGTGACTACAAAGAATTCGTCAACAATTGACTGACTGCTTTTTAGTGCATGCTTTTAAGTTGCTCGCGCCAGAGCTATGCGAGTGAAAATAGGTATATTTTGGTCACATTGCCAAAAAGCTTAAACAAAATATCAAGTCTAGACTATGGCAAATTAGTTTTGCCCAATTACAACATGTATCTGAAATGACGCTCAAATGAGCGTCGATATCATTAGTCATTGATATGCAAATGAGCGGATACATTAAGGGTGAGGGTTACTCACTAGTCCCAGTGCTGTTTGTGATGATAGCAGTCGCTCATTCATATGACTTAATGTTTCGTGTTAGAGGTATTCTACGTATACCATTATTTTGAGTATGCATCGCAGTGACCCCGCACTCGTTTGCCATGTGGCTCGAGGAGCATGAGGGCAGTTTTTTGAGATGAAGCAGACAGTATTTTCCAACAATAGACAACCGTCCACTGCGAGACTGTGGCCACAGTGTGATGTGTCATTAGCTAGTGATTTTCCACCCAACATTTGACCACCTGGTTCTCTTAATTAATTCACTCCTCTTTCACTCCCTCCCTCCCTGGTGTTCATCCTTTTCATTGTGTGCTGGGTGCAATCAATTCTCCTATAATGTGTACGCGAGTGCAGCTGTCCGCAAATCGAGTTTCTATTAATGAGATGGTGGTGAGGGGGAGGGATGATGCTATACCAGCAGCTTATGAACACTGGGGTATTACCTTTTTCTCCAGCACAAGTTTGAGGGCTTAATCAGACCTTATTTCATTGGCACATGCAAATAATTTAGCTTTGAAATATGTATTGCAGTCTATTATTTTCCATCTTCTCACAGTCTTTAAAAAAAAAAAAAAAAAAAAAAAAATCCTTTATGGCTTGTGAAGACCATTTACAAAAAGGTTGATCTACAGTGCAACCAGTCATGTAAATTTCAATTATTTGGATTTAAAGGGGCAATTGCAGTGTAGGAAATCACAGCAGGGCTATTATTAGATGTTAACAGGCTATTCTGAAAAACTAATTAAAGGTGTGGCTGCCTCGGAAGTGCCAGAGGTGTCCTTGCTGTATGCTTGTATTGATTTAAACTCCCTCTCAGAGCATGTCCTCTTCATGCCATATATGTGCAGGAATAATTCTAAACAGAGTGCAGCCTACTGGCACTTCAGTGGATACAAATTGTGTCGCATGTACAGCGCAAATCTCTGCTGTTGTCACGTGCATAGTTTGTATATAATCATTGACGGCATTTTGATAATGAAATATTCATCTTCTGAACGGTATACATTCAGCATTAGCTGTGGAATTGTTAGGCTGTGTGCTAATTTGCAGGTTTACTTCAGGTAAAAGCACCAAACATAACCCGACTTCAGGACTACATGTTGTCTTTTACAAATTGTTTTCATAATGTATAGCAGAGCAGTTGGTGATGACCTAAAAATGTACAGTTCTTCTTCAACATCATACTTAACTCTGACGAAGTTTGTCACCCACACATCAATCTCTTTCTCGGTCTACGGTCTACAAGTTAAAATGCGGTGGCTCTCTTGCGGGCGCGACGTCCTTGTCGTGCAGGGTGGCAGTGTGTCGGGATGGGGAGTGGTCAGGGCAGCGCAAGAACTCGGTGTCGCGGAGTACACTTCCTGCGCACCATCCACCCTCATCCTCTCACCCTGTCGCCATATGTTCAGATGCTGGCCAGAGGAATCGCCGGCGCATTGGGGTGGATCAGACGACCCCACAGAGGGAGGGAGAGCAGGGGGGGGGCATGGCAGGGGGTGGCCTGCCACTCAACTTCCAGCACAGGTCAGTACAGGACCGCATGAGCACCTCCTTCTCCCCCTCCTGCTCATACCCTCCATGCTGAAGGCAGCCCTCCCCCCAACTCAATCCAGCAGTGACAGAATTGGTGGACAAAAATGACACATTTAATGCTCGACACATAACTCTCTACATCATACTGCCTCACAACGTATCTTGCGTGGCATACAGTAGGAGCACTATTTGCTAGTCCCCATAGTCCCCTCATTAATACTGCAGTGGACATTCACAACTGGAATTGGTGTTGAGGTCAGGTGTAGCCAAATCATGTTCATCTGTGGTTGTTTTCAACTTGTTGTTAGTGATGTTATTTGGAGAAGAACTTCCTTATTTCATTGTGATCGTCAGGTTTTTTTCTTGTTTCATATTTCCCAATCATCAGAAACGGAGGCCTCATGCTGTTTGTTTTTTTCCCAATTACATATTTATTTTTTTGCCACTGACGACATCTGTTTTATGTAATAAATGATGCCTGTTGTGATTTGTAAAACATCGATATGCTTGTTTTCTCCATCTATAGAAATCGTCAATAAACACAAAATAACAAACATTTTACAAGACGACATAATATTACAACTGCGCCTCAAACTATGCTCAGTTACTATAGAGTTAAAACAACAACTCTCTGACAAGTAGCATTATGAGCTACATGGGTGTAGCATGCTTGTATTGCATGCTTAGTTACATGTTTTTGTTATTTGTGCCTTTCAGACGTTTTTGAATGTGAAAAACAAAGTTCTGTGTGTACTCGGCACTCCTCTGATCTAATTGGTGTGTACTGTTATTAGAATAATTAACGTTAGAGAATATAGTGTCATTTAGGGCCGTATTAGGAACGGGACTTTGTTACAGCATTCCAGTTTTACAAGTTTTAATACACACGTAAGCTGTTTGTGTGGGTGCGTGGATGTGAATTAGCAGGACATTTAGTTGTGATGGTGTTCTGATTTGATTACGGTGAACTGTAGAAGTTTTGCCCGTTTCTCCTTTTTTAATTGCTATCAGCCTGTTTGGCAATAAAGCGAATGTTTCTGATTAAATTAAAATTGAAACTTAATCCTAATCCGCTGTATCAACTCGCCATCTACTTTTATGGACCAGGTCTTTCTGTGAGAGGTAGAAATGAGATTACTGCGTATTAACTCTGGAATCTGGAGCTCGGTAATGATGACCTTGAGGTTTGGCATCATTACCTGTCCAACATGACAACATTACTCTCGCTTGTTCCGATTGACGCATCGGGGATGTTTTCTGCAACGACGACGGCTATTTGACCGTTGAAAGTGCATTTAAACAACACGGCTCTGTCCTGCTGTGTTGCACGGCACTGTTGAAATGCTGTATGCATAATACATACAGCTCCTCCACCTGTTTTTATGGGGGAGGACATGGAACGACTCGAGATGGAGGTCTGTTTATCGTAATCCTCCTCGCTCTCTCTCTCTCTCCCTCTCTTATTCCCTCTTCTCTCTTACAGGAAGCATGCCCTGAACTGTCACAGAATGAAGCCAGCCCTCTTCAGCGTTCTCTGTGAGATCAAAGAAAAGACGGGTGAGTTTCTACTCCACTCGTTCTCCTCCTGTCTTCCAGTCTGCACAGGTTGTAACCCAATGTGGAGATGTGGTGCGCCTCTGTTCCACTTTACCTGGAAACCAAGTTACTTGCAGAGAACTCTGAATGTATTTGTCATAGAACCGATTCGGCTGCATGTATCGTGCATGCTTTGGTTCAAGATGATTGTTAATATGCGTTACTGTTTTTTGTTTTGGCCTAGTAATTATAGAAACCTCCCAAGACTTCACACTGACCAGCTGAAACTAATCTCACTGGATTGGTGCTTTTTGATAATTGAGTCGGACAGAAGAACAGGAGTTTACACACTTATTTACCAGATTGTTGGAGTACCTGAAGAAATATACTCTGCAGTTCTGTGACAAAATGTATGAATGGTGCAAACCAAACGGGCTGATACAGTTGGTTGAATTACACAGCGATAGTTACTATTCTAAAGCAGGGTAATAAGGCCCTCTGCTGCCACTACCACAACGTATCACATCCAAATTATTAGAAAAAAGAAAGTTCATGCACACCTAGTTGACAGCAGGCAGATATGAAAAAACTTCCACAGGGGTTATTGCATTACAGTCAAACTATTATGCTATTTCAGTTCAAAGAGAGTATCTTTCCTCCCGCACTATTAAAACAACTTCACGAGACAGTGTTGGGGTAATTGTGTATCGGGAATAAATGGATATACATATAAATGCGGTATCTTCAGCCAAACATGTAAAGCAACACAAAACTACTCTAACATTGTCTTAGCAAATAATGCTGGCTTGCTAACGCACTTACACGCACAGAAATTATTGCCGATGTAAACGCCTCAGATTTGCTTTTACTCGTAAAATGATTCAAAGTTAACGCGCTTCCTATTCTCATCTTGTTAGCTATTCAAGTCAGCTATCTGACAGATTCTAGTGTGGTTCAAAGGCCTGGGATGGATGGCAGATTGATGGTTATGGTAGTGTAAATGGGGGGTGTTTTTAAATCCCCTCTCTCTCTCTCTCTCTCTCCGTCGTGCTTTTCTCTCTCTCTCCGTTGCCTTGTGTGTCTTCTAACGGCAAACCTCTCTTGTTCAAAATACAATTTGAAAATGCTGCACTGCTGTCTGTTGTGGCCATTTGTCAATAATGTATTATTGCTCTCCAGTGATTGGACCAAAAGTAAAGGCTAGGCTTGAGTGAGTGGGGCCGGGTACACTGTTTCCCAGGCAACCAGTGGTCTTATTTACCCTAATGCCATTCACTTTGATTTTCACATTTAGTCTCCCGGCAAGCCGGAGAGAGTGGCTGTGAGTACTTTTACAGTAAAGCTGAGCATAGAGGCAGGTTAACAAAAGATTCATGCCTGAGGTGAATATGCCAACCGTGAGATAAATGGAGATCTTTTGGCTCTGCCTGTACTCTGCTGGCCATCTGCCACGCAGTGCCCTCCTAACTGCACCGTGTACCTGCTTTGGCATTTCACTGCTACTCCATCAGACCCCCTGCAGGCCCCATTATGTGCCTCTGGAATGTGAATTGACTTCTCTTCAGTGCAGCTTGTGGAAGACCCAATCAGTAGTCCTCTAGTATCTCCACAAGATTTTCTGCAGTCTTCTTTTCACTAACAAACATGCACACACACCCGCATACACACTGTGTCTCTCTTGCGCACACACACACCGAAAAAGGATAAAAGCATACTCGGTCTTGGGTCTACTCTTACTGCCTCGGTCTTGTCCTCTCCCCCCCTCCCTCCTTCCCTTCCTCCCTCTGCCTCGCTCCCATTCTTGAAAGAGAAGACTTGCTCTGAACTCGGGGCTTTGATATGGTAATGTAATGGTGGTGGTGGTGGAGGAGGGGAGGTGGGTTGTGGGGGATGGGAGGTGAATTCCTCTGAGTGCTGCAGTTGGTTAGATTGTTTTCATTGTAAAGGAAATGTTCTGCGCAAATGCCAGTCCCCCCCCCCCCCCCCCCCCATCACTACTCCTCCTAAACACCCCCCCCATTTTACAACAGTGCTTGCGTTGTCCTGAGCTCTCTCACATTTAAACATGACCTCCGTCTGCGTGACATTTGATTCTTGTTAATACTTTGTTAAAGATACACTCCCGAAAACAGAAATTACAGCGCATGGGAAAAAAAGACGGGCAAATGATCAAAGTTGAGAGCCAGTGGCTTTGCTTCCACTCGGTTCTGTTCTCCCTCGCTCTCATGGGTATTTGCTGTAAAAATAGCTCTTGGTGCAATGGGACAGCTTATGCCAAAATCTCTCACAAGCCACTGCAGTTACTCTCAGAAGTTTTTCATTAACTTTGGGTATGTTTGAGGCGTTTCTCCCTACTTTTATGCGTTTCCTTGTGCTTCACACGTGACAACAGTGAAGCTGTCACTCACTCTGTTCCGTCACCCTGCTCAAGTCCTTCCCTTTCAAGCCTGAACATTCCCAGTTGTTTATTTTTGGACGGATTTTGAAAAAACTTTTCAAGCGGAATTAAAGCTTTACAGTCTCTCCCTCCTCCCCCTGACTTGGACAAGTTCACACCTCCAACACTCATCTTGATAAGCTGTCTGATAAACAGCTCTGTGCGATAATGCTGCTGGATGGCTGAGTAGAAATGGTGGCTAACTGGCGAGCATCTTACCTGGTGTAAGACTAGCTCCGTGTCGTCTCTCACTGTTAAAAGTTAATGACACCTCTCTCTCATGTTCTGCATGCATCTATAGATTTGTAGTCCATCGCCTTAACCACTCGGCCACGACAACCGGATATGCATGTATCTATACACCACCACTCATATGGGCCGTGCATCCCGCAGCAACAGTGAGGGTTCAACAACATGTAAATCCCGATGGCCTGCAGCCAGCGTGATGTTAACTTGAGCCAGTCGATTGCTCCGTTAGGTGTCCTCACAATGTGTCTGGGTGTCACTCACCGCTCTCTTTGCGTCATCTGATCAGAGTTTGTCAGAGGATTTTTGGATCACATTCATTGCCTTAAATTTGACTGATATTTACCTAATGCTGGATGGAAATGTCTTATTTTTCTAAACGCATACAAGCACCGAAATCTCCCAGTCGATGGCTGCCGGCAGAGCTAGCAGCACTTAGCTAGTATGTTGGCAAAGCGGCTAGCTGACAACCCATCATCACATCCTATTAATGTTTTGACAAGATGGATGAATGGTGAGATTTACCCTACCCTTCTCTGCTTTATGATTTTCAGTGCTATTCCTGGTTACATTTAATATTAAAAGCAGCCCCTGTGTAGTTACGATGGCTTATCAATTACTACAAATACAATTGGTGAAAAAGGAATTAATACGAGTGAGACGTTGATGAAGAAAATATGTGACGGCTGTGTTGACTGTCGAGAGTTGTACAATCCGACCTCAAAGGAGTGTAAACCACTGTGCAGCTTCTTGGCATTTAAAAAGCCTTCAAAGTCATATTTTATCCTGTAACCTGTAGCCATACACACCAATGCAGCCCCTTGTTTCGTAGTGTTTATCTGAATGGATCCTTATATTTTCTGTCAGCCTACAAACCTTTTCAGAGATCAACCAAACTATTAAACAACGGATGTTAAACCGGCTCATTCGAGGTCGTAGTGTTTTTAAAAACCGTGGCGTCGTTGCTCCACCGTGGCATTCACAGCACTCGGGTTGTCTCAATACCATTTCAGCAACAACATGGTCCCAATTTACATGTTAATTGAATTACAGCACGCTTGTATTTGTAAAAACACCAAAAACAAAACAGCATTAAAAAGTCACACATGCTTTCCGTGTGTTAATTCACAGCTAAAACAAACACTTCACTTTTCTAGAACCTTTTAGAATCCTCATTTGAATTTGCGTCTGTTTATTTTAGAGGCTATGCAGGAAAGTTGAGGACCAAACATCACACACCGGCGCTGTCCTGTTGGGAAAAACCTCTTCAGCCTTGATTTAGGTGTTTCCATTCCACAGACTACAGTACACAGACTCTAGTGAATCGCATGCCTAATTAAGGCAACTTAATTATTATTAGTTTTCAAAAGAGCCCAATTTGGAGCAGAGCCATAACATTTTATGAGTTGTTAGGAACCTGTGGGAAGTCTTATTATATTTTTATGAGGGAAAGGCATACATTGCCTTTTTTAAGCCAGAAGCAGTAAGGAGATAAAAATAGTTTGTGGTAGAAATGTGACCTATGTGAAGCTACCAAACGGGCATTGTCAGTTTTACTATCTCTTGGGTTTAAAACAAGAATAGGTCATCCACCTTTGTGCAGCCACACGTCCCTTGGTCAAATCCTCTGAAAGAGTCTGTTTTATATTTACGCTCACTATCCGGTGAGGCTGGATTTATATCTCATCGGCTTTTCAGGATTCTCTGTTGTTTTTGTGCTGTCCTGCCACTCAATCGTTTTTTTTTTTCTTTCCCCGACCTCTTTGCAGAAGAGAACGGAAAAAAGATAGTGTGTGTTGGGGTGTGGGTGTGGGGGGGGGGGGGGTTGAAGGAGCGATACAGGGAGATTGATGAGGCAGTAAGAGCAGGAGTAATTACTCGGTGTCCATTCCCCAAGCCAGATTGGCAGACGGCTAATATCACACAGACCCCTGGCCCTGACAGACACACCACCACCACCACCACCACCACCCCCCCACCACCACCCAGCCCAAAGTGGGGAGGCAGCGCACCCCAACCTTCAGCGTAGGCCTAATGCTGTGTGGGCCAACTGATTCCCCCATGTGGTATAATTCCTGTAGGAACTGGACCTCTGTGTATTGACGAGGGAAACTGCTGTGTGGACTGTTTGTAGGATGGGAAAAGCTCAGTGGAAGACTGCGTGATGAATTCATGAATTGCACGGTTATATTAGCACAAATGCCCACGCTAGGTGTTCTTCTCTCTGATCGAATTCACTAGGAACATAATTATACAGTTTGACGGTAGAACCATAGTGTTGGGGTTTGTTGGAAGAGGAGTGAAGAACGTGGGTCAACAATGATGAAGCATTTGCTGC